CCTACTTTCAGAAAATATACAAATGCTTTAGGGCAGGGGTGGGCAAACTGCGGCTCTCCAGCTGTTGCAGGACTACAAGTCCCATCATGCCTCTGCAAGTCATAGCTGTAACTGTCAGTTTTGTAATATCGCAATGCCTCATGGGAAATGTAGTTCCACAACAGCTGGAGAGCCGCAGTTTGCCCACCCCTGCTTTAGGGGTTATAACTAATCTTCCAGCCTAAAACGTGCATTTTAACATAGGCAGAAATGGCTCTGCCAGCAAAAGGGTTAAAATTGAAATGTAAACCCCAGAAACCCATATGCTGAAATGTACAATTTAACGTTTAGCAGTTGCAATTTCACTTTTGGCCTCGATCACACAGTCAGCAACAGTTTGTGTGGTCCTGAGTATACACAAAACTTTTGTTTAATGAGTCTCCATCTTTTCTACCATGCAGTGTTTTTGTTTTTCTTACAATGGTGCTCATTTCTTTTGTGAAAATCAAGGTTGTGTTCAATATTAAATTGTGTCCGAAATCCTTTGTCATAGGTTTTGTACCAGTTGCAACGAATAGTAAATTGATGGCGGTGAAAGGTCCGGTTCCACTGACTGATCTGCCAGCTGCCTTTACATCTCCAGCTACATACTTTAAACCTATTGTCCTCATGCAGAATACAGACGTCAACAGGTATTCATTTATTTTCTTGCCTCTGCTTGGTGCATACAGCCAGTTGCAGTACTGTGTCAACATAGCATAGCAGTGTACAGAAAAAGTCCTAAGCTGGCAATAAATGGTTTGTTTTTTTCGTTCAGCCAGTAGCCTGGACGAAAAAAAAAACCAAACTGGTTCCTCTGTCCACAAAAACAAGGTAGATAAAGGAATCTCCCATGTGGGGAGGTTGTATTCTGACAGATGTACCCCACAGCTGTCAGAATACACTGATCTGCAGCTGATTGGCTGCATTCGCTGATCAGGTAACAATTTCCAACTTATTCCTTTGACAGAAGTCAATCAAATGATCACAGTGCTGAACTGAAACAAAGTTGAAACACAGTTTGTCTGAAATACTTTATTTTAATAATTCTCTCTGTGTTTAGTTCTAACGTCTCCAACATGCATTCCAGCAATGAAGATGCAAGTCAGAAATCATCGCCTAAGGAAAGCATTATAGTAAAAGATCCAGTAATTACAGAAAAGGATATTTATGTGCCTGACATGGATAACCATATGGAAGAGGATAAAGAAGGTCAAACTAGCAAATCTTCCAGCCGTGCTTCAAGGACTTCTCATAATCGGAATTCCAGTCTGACAGAGTACCCCTCCGATCGCAAAGAAAAGATTCCCTCTGCAGCTTCTTCTATCTCTTCCAACTCTTCAACCCTGACCAGCAGTCCGATTGTAAACAATTATCTCCTAAAACAAGACCCCAAAACTGGTAATCTCACCTTAGTACGAGTACATCTTAGTATTCCAGATCATATACCAAGTGTGTCTCTGGAGACTGACCCTGTATCCCAGAGCATTAAGACACATAATTCTCCTGCATCAGAACCTAACAAGAACGATAGCGAGGAGTATGAAAAATATGACAATGCTGTGTATACATTACCAACCTCTAATAGAACATTTAATGGAAATGACCAAGAAAATAAACAGGATAACCAGCCAACTAAATCATTGACTGTTGTAAATGGGGAGACCAGAAAAGCCACATCTACTCCACTGCAGAAGGTGATCCAACTCTTACATGATGAATTTGCATTTGATGGCTACTTAGAAAATGGCATTGAAGACACTGCAATGGGTATGTCATATAAATAATTCTGAATAAATTCTTAAATAAACTTTGGTGTTGGTCCACTTCACCATATACCCCTTTATACATTGTGAGAAAATAACATGGTAAATATACGTTGGAGTCTCAATGTGATAACGTCTTGGGTTAGTTGGCATTAAACTATCTCAGCACTGCTGATCTGCAGCCTCTTTGCAGCCACTTCCTGTTTACATTTTTGATTGAGTTTGCATATTCTTTAAGATAAAGAATATTTAATAAAGAATTCAGCTTCAGTACTAGGGCATTATTGTTTAAATACCAGTTCTGTTCCAGCAACATACCCATACGTCACTGGAGTTTGAGCCATTATACTGGAATGATGCCTGCAGCTGCATCCCGGTACCCATTTTTTGGAGCCAATGATCTGCTCTCTTGTAATAGCAATCAGAACAGCTAACTAGCTGCACGATTGCTATTAGAAGCAAAGGGAGGGGATGTCCTTCTGTGGCTTTTCGAGGATCTTCCATCACACTGGGAGTACCAAACAGCCGGCTCTTCAGCCGGCTAATCATAGAGCCAAGCGAAGACCGGATCGGCTTTGCTCGGCTCTATGATTTAGTAATGTGGAAGCAATGACCTTACATTATTTCCGATTTACTCAGAAATAACCAGCGCCATTTTAAAAAAGAAAAGCATTTAATCACATCGATCTTGGTGTGATGTAATTCTTTTATGGGTAGAGGAGGGATTTGGGGTCTTATTGATCCCTGATCTCTCCATAAAGAGTTCCTGTCACATGCCTATTGCTGTCACAAGGGATGTTTACATTCCTTATGACAGCAATAAAATAAACTTTTAAAGTGACAGTGTAAGAAAACCAAAAAAAAAAATAAAGTCCCTCCGTGCTTGCATTCAAAGGCGAACACATGCGTCAGTCCCACATGCATGCAAACAGCGAAAGTCCCACACATGTGAGGTATTGACACAAACGTCAGATCATGGGTAGTAATTCTAACACCAGGCCTCCTCTGTAAATCTAAAGTGATAACCTGTAAAGGCTTTTAAAGCGTTGTCTATGGATAGTAAAATGTACATAGTTTTATTTATCACCGTTGCACATGCGTGCACAATTGTAGGGCATGACTTGTTTGGGATCTATTTACTTGGCATAACATCATCTTTTATTTTTTACAAAAAATTGGATTATGTATTGTGATTTTGCATCAAAATTCAAAAACGTGTATTTTCCCCAAAACATTTTAAAACCTGCTGTGCAAATACCATGTGACATAAAAAAAATTGCAAAACCCACCAGTTTATTTATTCTCTATGGCCTCTGCTTAAAAAAATGTTTATACTTTTTGGGAGTTCGAAGAAATTGTTTGGCAAAAAATACAAATTTTTACATGTAAAAAAGAAGTGCCGGAAAAAGCTTGCTCTTCAAGTGGTTAAAGTATAATGTGCAAGTCTGATCAACACTGAACTATTCTTAAACCTACTCCCATACCCATTCTAAGCCCTATGCTAACTATCCTGTAAAGGAAAGCTGTGTATACTTACATAATCTAAGGGCACTCCGGTCTTGTCACATGTTCTCCCCAGCAGCCAGCTTCAGGGGAGAGGAGAGAGAGCAGCAACAATGGGCTGCAGAGCCTTGGCAGTGACAGAATCCATAGACTTACGATGTGACATCCACTGTCCCTCCTCTACACTGCAGCTGATGCTGGGACCGGACTACGTGACCAGGCCAGAGCACCCTTAGATTAGAAAAGTATACACATTTTTCCATAGGTTAGTTGGCATGTGGCTTAGCATGTTTGTGGGAATGGGTTTAAACTTAGTTAGGTTTTGACTGGACTTCTACTTTTAAGCAGAGCATAGTAGCCATGGAAAAGGGGGGCAAACAAAAGCTGGGCATTCACTGTAAGATTTCTCTCTTGTTCAGCCCATGAACACCTTGGATTCCAGCAATGAACACCTTGGATGCGTAAACTGTTGGCGCTATATAAATCCTGTATAATAATCTCCCCTACTGGCTATTGTATTCTGACAACTGTGGGTACTGGCTGAACTTTCGGCTGACATTTTTCCACCCTGCATATTTGATTTTTAGATCAAAAGATGCCAGGTGGAGGGGTGCTGACAGGGTCAGTCATGGCTCAAACTTTGTCCTGTTCCTGATTAATTTGTACCAGGAGTGGCTAGCTTAAGGAACAGTAGTGGAAGACTACCATATTGTTGTCCCAGAAAGACGCACGAGCTGGTAGCTTGATAGTGCTGAGGTGAAATGACTGGTAAGTCTTGTGGGTGGTTGTCCAAATATGCCAAATCCAGGCCTGGTAGGTCAATGATAACCACAACATGTGGTTGCTGGAGTCAGGGTTATAGACTAAAAATGGGAACCCTTGCATTGAAAGTTGCAATATTTGCAGGATTTTTATGTATCTCTCTCTGGAGCTTTTATATACCAATATTGAAGAGCCTTTCTTAAATATATACTTCTGAAGGGTTTATGTTAAAGGATGAGAGCATCACAAATCAAGGATCTGTCCAGTAAAAGTTAATTGATCACAATATATCTTCTGACCTTTTGGATGCGATCAATATACTTTTCCCAGATTCATCCTTGATTTGTGGCCCTTTTATCATCTATACACTTCAGACTGCTCCAGGGATCCCCAGGAACATAACACAACAAGCGAGAGGGCGCACTAGTGCATTAACATAACTCCATTTTTATTGAAAGACTATAATAAGTGGATACTTACAAATGCATGTAAAGTCTTCCTATGTATGGTGAATTTGGAGGCGGTCTCATGTGTATCTTTAAATATGCTTGTGCATTACATGCGTTTGTGAGTATCCACTTGTTATATATGTTTTTAATAAAAATTGAGTTATGGTAATCCACTAGGTCAGTGCGCCCTGCCTTATTGTTTTATAGTTTGCATAAGGATACCCACAGTCCTAAGAGGATAACAAGACGGGAGTCCATTCTTTCCTTAAGCACCACACCTAAGCGCAGGAGCTTATGTCTGAAATACCCAGGAACACCCCAGTTGACAGAGGGCAGCCTTCAAAAATGAAACCTGTGCTGTTGAACATCTGGGTATTAATTGTCAAATAGATGTTTCTGACATGTTTATAAGATCTTGCTCCTGCTATAAAAAATATTATTTTTACCAACTTTTTTCCTAGATTATCCACTGACAAGTCCATGTTTTGTTGTCTCCCATCCAGGGGAATATATTTTTGCCTTGAAAGGTCTTCAGCATGCAACGTTCTGCAGTGCAGTATGTGAGAAGTTCTGTGACCTCTATTGGGAAGATCGTCTTCTGGAAAACCTGTACAGGATTATCAATGGGAAATCCCCCCCTCCTAACAGGTGCATGTTTGTATGCTTCCATATTGAACAGCAGACTCAGTCAAAACTCGTTATTTTGAGAACTTTCAGATTACAATCCAATTAGCGTAGACAGTAGAAGAATCGATCATTTAAATGAGTTGAAACTGTGTTTGGCAAAAAAAAAAAAAAAACAAACTACAAAGGCAGCTAATATAGGGTCACAAAGACCTGAGGAATAGAAAAGTTTAAACCTGTTTTACAAAATACTTATGCATAGAATGGGGCCATATGCTTCTTTCATTAGGCAAAGAAAATGAGAGGGAGTAGAAAACAAACCACTGAAAAGGAAATATTGCCTCTTCACTCATATAACATTCAGGAGAATTATGACCGTTGCTATTTGAGGAACTGAAAAAAAATATCCTGAATGTCCTTTTAGATGTGTACATCATCTGCAAATTGTTTAGAAAGTAGAGCTTCAAGAGCTGTGTAATTTTTTTGTTATTCTTTGCCTCTCTTTATTTATATCTGGTGCATTGACTGCTAATTGTCACTGCCGCTTAAGCAGTCCACAGAGGAGTTACTTTTTTTTTTTTTAGTCAGCCAGCAGGTTAAACAAAAAACCTCTCAATTCCCCAATCCGCACACTTGATGTGGATGGTGGATCCCTCCCTGTTGAGCCATTGTATTCTGTCAGTGGGGTGACTTCACCGCCGTCAGAATATAGTGACCAACGTTGCCGGCTATGGCCCGGCAGGGCTGATCAAACGACAAAAATCCAATAGGGTTGTTATATAAAAGTAGATTGGTAGATTGACTTCTATAAAACCAGCCTGTCCATACATGGATCAAAATTTTCCCTTCCAGTTCCTGCTGATCTGGCTGAATTTTGATCCCTGCTGGCTTTACTCAGTGCTGTTATTGTTTAGATTGGAATTGCAATGCTGCCATGTTTAAGAAGAAAAAAAAAACGCTTCTTTCACCATGCACAAAATTGAATCTGATGAAAATCTATAAGGAGAGCGCTGTTTTTTTTTTGTTTTTTGGGGGGTTTTTTTTCACGTGCAATTGACTTTTTGGCAGCAATGGACACTAACTTTTTAATTCCCTGTTTGTATAGGTGTCCTCCATTCATTATCCTTTGGGATTATGTGTGCACGATAATTGGACATTATCATTTTTTTTATTATTTCCTTTTATTTGGTTTAGCTTTAAATATTTACAGATTTAAAAAAAACGGGCAATAAACACATTTTTGTTGTGCAATTCCCAAAGCATTGACAATGCTCAGATAAAAATTCCCATTATGCTCAATGGGCCAGGTCAAACCTGGGCATTGTGTATTTCTTGTCATGTGAAGCTCAAAAAAGCGCATTAGGTTCTTTTGGGCTGCATTGTGTGTTTTTGCCCCCATAGACTTAAACATGAGTGCCTGAAAAACGCTGTTTATGCGTTTTTTCAGGTGCTTCCATTTAAAAGTCTCTGGGATCAAAAACATGCCATTTTGCCCCTGTACTACAAGGCATGGGAAAAATGCATGTACAAATTGCCAAAAACAAAATCTCCAAATCGCCTGACTACACTCACGCTAATGGTGAATGGGGGCTTAGAGTAGCGAGAAATTAAATGGTTTACCATGTTCTGCATACAGTAAATAGACTTCTCTTGTTTCAAGTTCAGTTCTGTTAATATCAGACTTCTTTTAATGTTCTGTTCACAGTTCACTGTCTCTTTATCATTTCACAGAAAAGCCGTGATCGATTCTTCTCAGGACAATAGCCCCTCGCAACTTCTAAAAAGGATCCAGAAAAAAGGCAGAAAAAACACAGAAGACATGAAAAGTTGTCCACAAATGAGCAGAGCAACATATCAGATGGGGATGAAGACAAAACTAGAGCTACGCCAATGATTTTAGAACAAGAGGCCAAGCCACCACAGTCACTTCCTACAACAGATGAAAGGACTCCTATGATGAACAACTTGACAGGTAGGGAAAAATAAAATAGCATGGTATATTTAGCTGTAAAGCTGGCCATATACAGATCAAATTTAAGCTGGTTCATCAAGAATCTATGGGTAGTTCTATTGGCACCACTTCACTCGACATCTTGCAATTTAAAGTTGGGAGGCAGACAGAAATTTGTTGGCCGAACAGTTACTGCAGCCAGTCAGACAGTGGGCATATCAAACCACTGGAGACTCTGACTGCTCTGTGTTCAGCATTGTGTCTGACCTCCAGGGTCAGACAATTGAAAAACAAACTGAAATCTTTTTGGGGGGGGGGGGGGGGGGGGGGGAGTAAACATAAAAAACTAAAATAATGTGGTTGCATAAGTGTGCACACACTGTTATAACTGGGACTGTAGCCGTTTTCAGAATTAAGCTATCACATTCAAAATCATGTTATCACATTCAAAATCATGTTAATAGGAGTCAGAACACACCTGCCATCATTTAAAGTGCCTCTGATTAACTCCAAAGTTCAACTGTTCTAGTAGGTCTTTCCTGACCGCAAAAGCCATGGTTCGCAGAGAGCTTCTAAAGCATCGGGAGAGATCGCATTGTTAAAAGGTATCACTCAGGAGAAGGGTACAAAAGATTTTCCAAGTCATTAGATATACCATCGAACACAGTGAAGACAGTCATCATCAAGTGGAGAAAATATGGCGTAACAGTGACATTATTATTATTATTATGCAGGATTTCTATATAGCGCCAACAGTTTGCTCAGCGCTTTACAATATAAGGGAGACAGTACAATTACAATACATTTCAGCACAGAAGAAATGTGAGGGCCTGCTCGTGGAGCTTACAATCTAAAGGAAGGGGGAGGTGATACAAAAGGTGATAGCTGGGGGGGATGATCTGGTGGAGGTGATTCAAGTACAGTTTTTAGGTGGAGGTGGGTAGGCTCCCTAAAGAAGTGAGTTTTCAAAGATCGCCTAAAGGCAGACAGGGTGGGGGCTGACCGGACATGCTGTGATAGGGAGTTCCAGAGGATTGGAGAGGCTTTGGTGAAGTCCTGGAGGCGAGCGTGGAAGGAGGTGATGAGGGAGCTAGAGAGGAAGATATCATGGGAGGAGTGGAGTGGGCGATTTGGGCGGTATCTGTGGATGAGGTTGGCGATGTAGCTAGGTGCAGTGTTGTGGATGGCTTTGTAAGCTGTGGTTAGTATTTTGAATTTTATACGTTTTAGTGGAAGCCAGTGAAGGGCTTGGCAGAGAGGGGCAGCAGTCGCTGATTGGTTGGTAAGGTGTACGTGTCTAGCAGCAGCATTCATAATAAACTGAAGGGGGGATAGCCTGTGTAACAGTAGACCAGTGAGGAGGGAGTTGCAGTAATCAAGGCGGGATATAACCAAGGCGTGGATAAGTTGTTTTGTGGTGTCATTGGTCAGAAAGGGGCGAATTTTGGAAATGTTCTGGAGGTTGAGGTGACAGGATTTAGCCAGTGAGTGGATGTAGGGCCCAAAGGAGAGGTCAGAGTCTAGGATTACGCCTAGCATCCTGGCATGAGGGGAAGGACCAATGGTTGTGCTGTTGATCTTAATGGTAAAGTCATGAGTGGGGGATCGGGGAGGAGGAAATATTACAAGCTTAGTTTTTGAAAGATTGAGTTTAAGGTAGTGACATCCATGCTGATATGTCGCTTAGTAGATTTGTGATACGTGAGGAGATTGAGGGGGTGAGCTGGGGAGTGAGAGATAGATCTGGGTGGCATTAGCATAGAGGTGGTATTGGAAGCCATGGGAGGTTATCAGTTGGCCCAGGGAGGAGGTATAGAGCGAGAAAAGGAGGGGCACAAGGACAGAACCTTGGGGTACCCCAACAGAAAGAGGAAGAGGAGCGGAGGAGGAGGAGTTGTATGTGACACTGAAAGTGCGCTGAGAAAGGTAAGAGGAGAACCAGGAGAGAGCAGAGTCACGGAGGCCGATGGAGTGGAGTTTACTGAGGAGGAGCGGGTGGTTTACTGTGTCAAAGGCAGCAGAAAGGTCAATTAGTATGAGTATGGAATAATGGTCATTGGTTTTAGCAGTTAGTAGGTCATTAGTGAGTTTTAGTAGGGCAGTTTCTGTGGAATGTTGTGGGCGGAAGCCAGACTGTCGGGGATCAAGAAGGTTATTGTCGGTGAGGTAGCTGTTCATACAGTTGTGAACAAGGCGCTCGAGAAGCTTGGAGGCAAACAGGAGCAGGAAGATGGGTCTTAAGTTATTCAAACAGGTGGGGTCCAGTGAGGGTTTTTTGAGAATGGGGGTAACCAGTGCATGTTTGAATGGGGAGGGAAAGGTGCCCATGGAGAGTGAGCAGTTGAAGATGTGGGTTAGAGAGTTTAGGATAGAGCAGGAAGGAGGCTGCAGCAGTCGTGAGGGGACAGGATCCAGGGGACAGGTGGTGAAGTGGGCCTTAGGAAGGAGTTTGGTAACTTCCTTGGTGATAACAGGGTCGAAGGAGGAGAGTGTTGAGTTTGGTGTTGGGCCTGGTATGTTGGTTAGAGGAGGAAGCTTGACACTGGAGATCTCATCACGAATTGTGTCGATCTTCTTCTTGAAGTGACTGGAAATCTCCTGTGCAGTAAGTAAGTTGGGTGGAGGCAGTGTGGGGTGGAGTAAGGAATTAAGGGTAGAGAAGAGTTGACGAGGATTGGATGAGAGGGTCTTGATGAAAGTGTTGTAGTAGGTTTGCTTAGCAGCGTGGAGGCTGGAGTTGTATTTGAGAAGAGTGGATTTGTAGAGGGTAAAGTCTTTCAGGGATTTAGTTTTACGCCATGCTCGCACAAGAGTGCGGCTGCGTCTCTTGAGACTTCTGGTGTCATCTGTTTGCCAGGGTTGTGACAGGCAAGGCCTGGTTCTGCGTGTAGAAAGAGGAGCAAGAGTGTCCAGGGAGGATGATAGATGGTTGTTGTAGACAGATGTGGCCAGCTCTGGGCAGGACAGGGGTGCAATTTCATCATAGAGGCGCTCAGTAGCGGAGTGAAGAAGGTCAGGGCTGAGGTGATGGAGGTTTCTACAGGTATCGGTTTGCTGGTTGGAGGCATGGGAGGTAGGAGGCAGGGAGAGTGTGAAGCTGATAAAGTTGTGATCAAAGAGAGGAAAAGGGGTGTTAGAGAGATTACAGGGAGTGCATAGGTGGGTGAATACAAGGTGAAGGGTGTTGTCATTGGAGTGGGTGGTGGATTGTGACTATTGTAAGGTTAAAAGCGGAAGTTGTTGAGTAGTTGAGAGGTGGCAGGGGTGTGAACATTGACTGGGATGTTAAAGTCACCGAAGATGATTTCAGGCACCTTCGGGGAGATTACCAAGAACCGGACGTCCCTCCAAAATTGATGAAACTGCCAGAAGAAAACTGGTCTGGGAAGCTGCCAAGAGGCCTACAGAAACATTAAAGGAGATGCAGGAATATCTGGCAAGTACTGGCTGTGTGGTACATGTGACAACAATCTCCCGTATTCTTCATATGTCTGGGTTATGGGGTAGAGTGGCAAGACGGAAGCCTTTTCTTACGAAGAAAAAACACCCCAGCCCAGCTAAATTTTGCAAAAACACATCTGAAGTCTCCCAAAATCATGTGGGAAAATGTGTTATGGTTGAGCTTTTTGGCCATAATTCCAAGAGATATGTTTGGCGCAAAAACAACACTGCAGATCACCAAAAGAAAACCATACCCACAGTGAAGCATGGTGGTGGTAGCATCATGCTTTTGGGGCTGTTTTTCTTCAGCTGGAACTGGGGCCTTAGTAACGGTAGAGGGAATTATGAACAGTTCCAAATACCAGTCAATATTGGCACAAAACCTTCAGGCTTCTGCTAGAAATCGGAACATGAAGAGGAACTTCATCTTTCAGCATGACAACGACCCAAAGCATACATTCAAATCAATAAAGGAATGTCTTCACCAGACGATTAACCACTTGCCCTCCTGAGTATTTACCTCCCTTCCTGACCAGGCCATTTTTTGCGTTACGGCGCTGCATTACTTTAATTATTGCGCGTTCATGCAACACTACACCCAAATTAAATTTACGTCCTTTTTTCCCACGAATTGAGCTTTCTTTCAGTGGTATTTGATCGCTTGTGCATTTTTTAATATTTTACGCTATAAATAAAAAAACCAACAATTTTGAGAAAGAAAACAGTATTTTTTACTTTTTGCTATTAAACGTGGCCAGTAAAAAAATTTTTAAAAAATCTAATTTCGTCATAAATTTAGGCCAAAATGTATTCTGCTACATGTCTTTTGCTAAAATAAAAATCCCAATATGTGTAAATTAATTGGTTTACGTGAAAGTTATAGCATTTACTAATGGTGGTGTAGATACTGGACTTTGTTTGTTTTTTTTTTATACAAGTAATGGCGGCAGCGATCAGCAACCTATAGCGGGACTGCGGCGGACATTCTGACACTGGGGGGAACTGACTTGGTTCACTGACATCCCCAGTGACACCGACACAGTGATCAGTGCTAACAAAAAGCACTGACACTGTATTAATGGCACTGGGCAGGAAGGGGTTAACATGAGGAGCGATCAAAGGGTTAACTGTTTGCAAGGAGTGTTTTACTTCACTGTAAGCACACTGCTTTAGATGGTTGTGCTGTGCGGCTCGCATGCGCCCCCTACCCGGAAATGCAAAATCATGTGTATATATACATGATTTTGCACACCCCTGCTGCCCTGTAGCAGTATATCTGCTATAGGGCGGCAGGAAAGTAGTTAAGTTTTGGAATGGCCCAGACCTGAATCCGATCAAAAATCTGTGGGGTGATCTGAAGAGGGCTGTGCACAGGAGATGCCCTCGCAATCTGACAGATATGGAGTGTTTTTGCAAGGAAGAGTGGGCAAATATTGCCAAGACAAGATGTGCCATGCTGATAGACTCATACCCAAAAAGGCTGATTGCTGTAATAAAATCAAAAGGTGCTTCAACAAAGTAGTTTAAAGGTGTGCACACTTATGCAACCATATTATTTTAGTTTTTTATTTTTACTTCCCTCCACCTAAAAGATTTCAGTTTGTTGTACAGTTTATAGGTCACATTAAAGGTGGAAAAAGTTCTTAAATTATTTATCTTTGTCTCATTTTTACATCACAGAAACCTGACATTTTAACAGGGGTGTGTAGACTTTTTATATCTACTGTACTTATTAATCATACATAGGTACAAAAGACTTTTTATATCCACTGCACTTATAAATCATACATAGGAACAAAAATTAAAGCAGGATGTTACTCTTCCTATCAGCTATAATTCTCACTAAATCCTTTTTTTTTGAGATAGGGGGATTTTTTTAACATAGAAACATAAAGTGATGGCAGAAAAAGACCGAGTGGTCCATCAAGTCTACCCGGTTTTGTGTGTGTGTGTGTTTTGTGGGGTTTTTTTGTTGTATGGGTTTTTTTTTTTTTTTTTATATGGTATGATCCCTTTATGCACTTCCTTTTTGCTGGCCTAGGCCAAAATGATGTGTATTATGTCCACAGCCTCCTGAGATATCCATCTCATCAGTCCCAGGAGGCTTCAGGGTACTCTAAGGCACATGAGTTGCAATGCATCTCCAGACTTGTGAGTAACAACTTAGCTTTACAAGTAAAAGAGAAGGGGAGGTTAAGTTCCTCTTTTTAACACATATTTACCAGATTTTTTACATAAAGGTGATCTTTTCCATTTATATCTAAAAACAATAAAACTATGCTTTCCCTTTTAAAAAGCTTGTTTCATATTCTGACATGTTGAGAATCTCAGTGACAAGTGTTTAATGTGTCATTTAGTGGCATTTTAGGCCTTTTAAGAATACGTAGTATGAAATCTCCTACACATGACCTTTCCGTCTTGCCCTCAAAGGTTCTGAGACGCAGGTGGCAGCTGGCACAGAGACTCACACTTCATTTGATGAGACAGATATGACTGATTTCCAACCACAGACCACTGAAAAGGATCAACAACCACAGAGCCTGCGGGCGGCAGCAGAGAATGAAGAGGAATTTATGTACAGAGTGTTCTCTGATTGTAACAGTTTGTGTGTGAGTCCTGATTTCACTGAGAACGAAGATGCCAATGAGTCGTCGTCGGTGAATCAGCGGGAGAACATGTCCATCTCTCCGTCCGAGGTGTACAAGTGTGGCTCAGGCTGGTCCATTGCTTTTTATGGGTCCGAGTTGTTTGATCCTGATGTCCAACACTATGTCAGCATACTTGGGAGGCAGAAAGATAAAAGTCCCAAGAGCATAGAACCCAAACGGCTGGTAAGAGATTGCAAATGCCAGATGTGTTCTTTATAATGCTAACAGTGCTGTTCATGCTTATATCATGCTTTGGCGTAAAAATAATAAATACTGTATTACGCCGTTTATCCAGTGAGGCTTATGAATCTTATTGCATTTTATAATTATTGCACTTTGTAGTATTTTAATTAATATTTTGTTCATGGCTTGGTCAATTTACCCATGGACATTTCATATTTCTGGGAAATACATTAAAACAATCTCTCTGTGGGAGCACTGCAAGGGTGTCTCACTCCTCCAGTTAATTCTTCTTGAATTGTATGTATGGGGATAGAACCCCTCTCAGATTCTTATTGCTGTCTGCATCTCCATTAGGGGGTTTCACCTCTCTTTTTTGTCTTGGTGACCATTGTACCAAGTTCTGAAAATGAAGGTAAATCTAAAATGATTAGATTTGGCACTAGAGAAAAAGGTGAAAGTGAATTCTTCAATGGGGGCACCTGTTCCTATGACAACTCTCTAAGATAATTTATAAATCAATTTATAGTGCCGCGCTCCTATTTGCAAAATCCTTAACTATAAATAATCTCACACTTATAAATACACTAAAAGTGCTTAAGTTGATACATAAATAATATTATATCAAATAAATATCTGTGACTTATAAATAATAAAAATAAATTAGATAATATTATAAATTAATCAAAATCATAATCTGTGGGGATACATATCACGTGTGATCAATTAATCAATATTGTGCAAATTCATAAGTGGATGTACATAAATTAATAAAGTGCATAAATAAAGTCTTTTATAAATATGTGCAAATGTGCAGGTGAATTCCTTTTTCCTCCCTCCAGGTGCCGTGTGATCTCAATATGCGCTCACCTTAATATTTGCCCAAATATATTTAGGCAAATAGACTTTTAATCCTTCCAGGATTGATGGAATAGTGCTCATAAGCAAGATGTTCCAGGGATAATATAGATCTATTGGAATCCTCCTGTGCTCTCCTCTTTCTCCATATGCAGCTGCTCATGCATGAGTATTAACAAGCTCTATGAGTATCTCCCATTTCCCCTCCTGGGGACACCTCTTCCTCATATGCTCCTTTCACCAGTATGGGGAATATATATCAAATAAAACAAACAAGAAAGACCATGGTGCCTTATCCTTGTATGAAAAAGTGATTTATTGCTACCAGGTGCGGTGATACACAGCAGTATATGGCACTATTGTGGTACAGGTCAGCAGTGGATACAAAATCAGCAGTAGATATATATTACTCTGCCTTTGCCTCTCTGTCTGCCTCTGCTTCTGCTGGAATCGCCGAACCTCTCCGATGCAACGTCGTGACGTCAGAGCCCCTCCCCTACGCGTATCGTCACAGGGTCACGTGACTTCATCAGAGAGAAAATGATGAGGAAAATGATCATTTTCCCCCTGATGAAGTCACGTGACCCTGTGACAATACGCGTAGGGGAGGGGCTCTGACGTCACGACGTTGCATCGGAGAGGTTCAGCGATTCCAGCAGAGGCAGACAGAAAGGCAAAGGCAGAGTAATATATATCTACTGCTGTTTTTGTATCCACTGCTGACCTGTACCACAATAGTGCCATATACTGTTGTGTATCACCGCACCTGGCAGCAATAAATCACTTTTTCATACAAGGATAAGGCACCATGGTCTTTCTTGTTTGTTTTATTTGATATATATTCCCCATACTGGTGAAAGGAGCATACGAGGAAGAGGTGTCCCCAGGAGGGGAAATGGGAGATACTCATAGAGCTTGTTAATACTCATGCATGAGCAGCTGCATATGGAGAAAGAGGAGAGCACAGGAGGATTCCAATAGATCTATATTATCCCTGGAACATCTTGCTTATGAGCACTATTCCATCAATCCTGGAAGGATTAAAAGTCTATTTGCCTAAATATATTTGGGCAAATATTAAGGTGAGTGCATATTGAGGTCACACGGCACCTGGAGGGAGGAAAAAGGAATTCACCTGCACATTTGCACATATTTATAAAAGACTTTATTTATGCACTTTATTAATTTATGTACATCCACTTATGAATTTGCACAATATTGATTAATTGATCACACGTGATATATATCCCCACAGATTATGATTTTGATTAATTTATAATATTATCTAATTTATTTTTATTTATTTATAAGTCACAGATATTTTTTTGATATAATATTATTTATGTATCAACTTAAGCACTTTTAGTGTATTTATAAGTGTGAGATTATTTATAGTTAAGGATTTTGCAAATAGGAGCGCGGCACTATAAATTGATTTATAAATTAATTTATACAATTGAACAATAGCAACACAATTAAGTGGGTTTGTGTAAGTGCCAGCGAACCTTAGTACACCATACTAGTAGACAAGAATTAATAGCTTACTGAATACCTCATTCATAATAGCCCACAAGTAGTCACTCTTTATAGTAACTCTCTAAGATAGTAATCTCCCTTTTTGGGATTTTGGGGAGATTTCCTCTCATTTTCTGTTGTGTCTCAAGGACAGGAAGTGAAGGGAATTCCCCACAACAGATAAGTCCGCAAAAAAGCTGAACTCCAGGAAAAACAAAATAATTTCCTTTGTAGAGGCGACTCTCCAGCACTGCAAGGGTTCAATGTAAATTTGTGATTAAGGTACCAGTTAATTGGACTTTTACTTGGCTAATCCCTCGTTCTCACAGGCCACATGTATGTTATAAGACAAGCTGTTGCAGCCTCTTTGCTAAAAGTTGCAGGTACTCTGACATCATCAAGTGCAATGCAAGGCCAATAGCCCTGCATTGTATGGGAGGACACAGAAGGACTGCCTATAATCTGGAGCATCAGGGAGTAAAGTTGAACATCAGCTGCCAGAAATGTAGGGATTAGTTAAGTAAAAATCCTTTCCTTCCTTTCCTGGTACTCTAGGCCTAAATGACCAATTAACCCTTGCAGTGCAAGAGTATTTTTTTGGATGTTTTTGCTTTTGGAGATTTTTATATATATATATATATATATATATATATATATATATATATATATATATATATATATATATATATATATATATATATATATATATATATATATATATATATATATATATATACACACACACACACTACCTCTGCTATTTAAGTTTAGAACTAAGGTCAAAATATGGGGGAGCTGTGCCTTTGGTCTAGCCAATTTGATAAAGATAATTCTTATGCCCTAGTTGCTTTATTTACTTCATAATACCCCTATGATTATACCCCTTTTCCGCACGGTCAATTAGATTTATAGATCTCTACTTTGGAGGGACAGGTCACCTAGAATCAGTTACAAAAGCCTAAAGAGAATGGAGGCATTGCTTTACCTAACCTGTGGGTGTATTACCTCGCTGCCCAATTGCAGCACCTACGCATTGGTCTTCAGACCATTGCGGCGGACCCCTCTCCAGGTTAGGATCTGCCCTAGATATAGCCCTATTTTTTACTAAAGCCCGGGACTTACCAGAAGGACTGGAATCTTTATGCTTCCGCAAGTCTAACAGGCTATACCAACCTATGTGCTGATGCATAAAATTTGGAATAAAGTCAAACAGCTAGAAAGGGTTCAGGGCTTTGCAAGTTATGTGCCCATCGGGCACAATGAAACTGTCCCAGAGCTAGCCAAGCTCCAGTACACCCCTTTGTGGCAAGCACGGGGCCTTACGCACCTACACCATATTTTCCTTAATGGGGCCTTACTTTCTTTTTCAGGAACTACAGTCTAGAGTTCACCTTTCCGAACTCTATGTTCTTTTATTATATGCAACTTAAACATGCTGTTTTATTCTGGGTTCTTCTTGAAATTGGCATATGTCCCCCACCCCTGTCTTTCATTTAATCCAGAACTCATCCTCTACGAAAGGCCTTGTATCTCAGTAATATAGGGCACTCCTCCTAGGGTTCCTGGAGGGCTACCATTGTAATGCCTTGGAAAAATGGGAGAAAGACATATGTGCCTTTTGAGGAGCCCCAATGGGATAGTGTCCTTGAGTCTATCCATCTTAGCTCCTTGAATACGTCTCAAAGGCTCTCACAATTATACATTATTCTTCGGGCCCACTATACTCCTAGTAAATTACATGTTATGGGCTTGCTGGACTCGCCTACTCGTTGCAGAGACCGTGGCACTCTCATGCACATGCTATGGCACTGTCAGAAATTACATAGGTACTGAGTCCAGGTAATGGAAACCATTAACAAGGTATTCCAAACTGCCTTACCCTTAGACCCCAAAGTATGCCTGTTGGGTGTCTTGGTTGACCCCCAGCTGACTGACCATTCTAGAGCTGCTTGTAACTGGGCTCTGTTCCAAGCCAGGAATCCATTGCTACAACACTGGAAGGCTGAACAACCACCTACACATAGAGAATGGATAGACCGCATGGGTTATACTCTGTGGTTGGAGAAACTTATCTATCAACATTGGGGATGTCCTGGTAAATTCAGTAAGTTGTGGGATGACAAGCAGGGCGCCACATCAGCGTGGGTTAAAACATAGAAACTTTATTACAAGAGCACTTACATGTAAAACTCCCTTGGTCAGCATCTGGGATGCATGCAATAGGCAGGAATAGTAGAGCCACAGGACACTGGGATAGTGGAGCCGATGATCCCTGCATAGCCTGGACTCCACGGCGTCTCTCCGTGCCTTCCCGCCGAGTGATAGGGAAATGTGCAGGTGCAGTGAATGGTTAGTGGGTGGATCGCAACGCGTTTCAGAAGCCCCGCCTCCTTTGTCAAGCAGGCCCGCCCCTGGAGCAGAAGGGTATATAAGAGCTGTCAAGCCGTGGGAAGCCAGTGGGGAGAGGAGGGGGGGGGGAGGAGCATGGAAGGGGAGAAGACCTCAATGAAAGTGTATGGGATCTCTAGAAGTCATCAGAGGGCATGGACGGAACATTTATGACACACCAGATAAACATATCATAACGGTCCTTCCGACAGAAAGACATGGGTCAATGAACAGAGGGGGCGGGGGGTTTTAACCGGGGAGGGAAATGGGGGAGAGAAGACAAAAGATTAAAAACGGAGTAGATCGAGAGGCCATGCAGCTGGATGATCGGATCCACCTAACATAAAAATAACTACATAAGAGATAACAACAACATCTTTAAAAGCATGGATATAAGAAGAATGAGGAATGGTGATAAAACTATTAACATATTAAACAATAATGAGAACTTTTAATGTCAATGAGAACATGCATAAAACCATGAATGAATAAACATGGGGGGAGGGGAGAGGAAACCATACATGGTATAATAATTATTGATTAAATGCACAGTATATCAAGTGAATGAATTCTGAGTTAAAGGGTTAACGCTGGAACCATGTTAGGCACTCCAGTGAAAGATAAATGAGTTAAAGGGTTAACACTGGAACCATGATAGGCATCTTGGTGATAACTATAATTAGATGGTGGTGTTAATTTCCAACTCTTCCTTAAGCCCTTTCAGTGACAGTGTATTGAGGGTGAAGATCCAAAATGTCTCTCTGATACATGGTCTGTGAAACCTGTCAGCCTGAGAATCACAAGGGGAATTGTTTCGACTACCCAAACCTTAAGACCATTGATGGACTTGTTATGCTGAGTAAGAAAGTGTCAAGGGACACTGTGGTCTTCGTTGCCATCCTCTATGACCCTCCTGTGTTCACCAAAACATGCCCTAGTCGTTGTAATGGTGCGGCCTACGTAAAGGAGTCCACAGGGGCAGGATAGGCAGTAGACAACACACTCAGTAGAACAAGTATAAATGTTTCTGATGGTGTGTTTCTTTCCTGTCGAATCATAGAAGTGTTTTTGCTATTGTGTAACAAACTTACACATTAAGCACCTCAAATTTTTTACACTGATACATGCCAGTGAGGTGACAGAAAGTGTCCAGTGGGTGTGTTGTGGAAGGTGCAGGAGTGCCAGTTGTGCTGGAGGCAAATATGTTCTTGACAGTGTGTGCTTTTCTATAGATGATCCTATCTGCCAGTGTTTGATCTAGTTTAGGGTCCTGGAGTAAAATGCCCCAATGGCGTTTAATAATAATCTCCATTTGCCTGTGTTTGTAATGAAACTGAGTGATGAATTTGACATCTCTAGAACTATCGGTGGGTGTTTGGTCCTGGAGGATGGAAAACGGCATGCTTGATATGCCTTAGTCACCAGGCCTTAATCATAACCCTTATCCAGGAACCTGTCTGTTAAGACTAACCCCTGTTAAATGTAGTCCGTGTTCTGGGTGCAAGTCTTGTGTAATCTGCAAAATTGGCCCTTGGGGATATTTTCTATCCATTTAGGGTGATGGCAACTTTTAAAATGTAGATACGAATTTGTATTTTCGTAACGTAGAGCCGACATATTCAATGTCTTGTTATCTCCAAGTATATGTAAGTGTACTTTTTGTTTCTTTTATACTTGTATGTACTGGTTGTGCGCTATGGATGACTTGTTACTTAAACTTAAAGTTCTTCTTTGATTAAAAAATAATATATATATATATATATATATATATATACACATACATACGCGCTTTAATGTAAAACATTGGGTTCAGTTGTGAGTGTGAGATCTCAGCAAAATTTCCTTAAGAGGTGGGCAGGGCTGGGAACTCTTGCTGCACTGCTTTATGTTTAAAACTGAGCATATTTTATTTCTGTCTCTCCCCAGGAACTTGAACAGCAGCTTATGATTGAAACAAAGAATTACAGGAAAACTATTAAGCTCTACCAGAATCTGATGCAGAAGGGAAGGAGAAATAAAGGTAAAGGGGATTTGTTGACTGTGGTAGTTCCTGGTATCTGCCAAGAAGGAAACTGAGAACTGAAGGTTACCCAGAACTAATATAGTTTTGTGCTTTACATTTTTATAGTTTCTGCTGCGTGTCACAGGGGAGGAGAGGGGGCTGGGCATGTGGTATACACAAGAATTTATAGGTATATGCTTGATGGTGACATGCAAGTGATGTGACAATCGGCTAATGTAGGAGTAAATTAAAGTGGGCCTGAATGTCAAATAGTGAATATTTACTATGTTCTAGGGAACATCTAGAAATCTGTCAAACTTCTTCTGTCAAACAGGGAAGGTACACATTCAGTGGGTATAGAAAAATAATCAAATTGTATTGCTTTGCAGTCTCAAATGAAGACAGACACAGTTTTTGTTTTCTCCAGCTGTATTTACTCAGTGCAATTTATAACAACCAAGTGAAAGATATAACAACAACATGTCAAAATTGACATGATCACTGAGTTGGAAAAAGGATCACCCCCCCCTCCTAAAAATGAATTGAAAACTCTATCAGTTGAAGTTAATCACCATCTCAGTGGCACACAAAACTATTTGACTTTCAACTGTGATTAGCAGTGGTCGTTTTGATTAGCTCAGCATGAAAATAGCTCTCCTGGAGCATTTCAGTCCCTGATAGTGCAACTTAGCAAACAATCAATTATGGGTGGCAAGGCACTGTCAAAAGATCTCTGGGATAAAGTTGCGGACTGGCACAAGTCAGTATATGGATACATAAAAAATTCAAAGGGTTTATCAGGTCCTAGAAAAACAGTGAAGTCTATTATTAAGAAGTGGAAGGTATTTGGTATGACACAAACCCTCCCTGGATTTTGATGTTGCTCCAAACTTGATGAAAGCACCAGGAGGAAATGGGTCAAAGAGGCTACCAAGAGGCCTTCAGCAGTTGCAGGGATTTATGACAAAGAGTGGCCATTGTGTTTATGTGACAACAATATCACAAATTCTCCACAAATGTGGCTTGTATGGGAGGGGTGCAAGAAAAAAGCCACTCCTCAAGAAAGGTCACATGACTGAGCTTTGTCAAAAACCCACTTTGAAGATTCTGAGGCCAGATGGAAAAAGGTGTTATGGTCAGATGAGACTAAAATTTAATTATTTGACCCCAACACTAAACAATATGTCCGACGGAAATCCAATACATCCACATAACACCACTCCTACAGTAAAGCATAGAGGTTGTAATATCCTGTTATGGGGATGTTTCTCTGCCGCAGGGACAGGAGCACCTGTCAGGATAGAAGGAAAAATGGATGGGGAAAAATACCCGCAAATTCTTGAGGAAAATCTGCTGCCCTCTGCCAGAAAGTTGTCAATGGGAAGAAGGTTTACCTTCCAACATGACAATGACCCAAAGCACACAGCAAGAATGACCACACAGTGGTTGTATGAGAAAAAGGTGAATGTCCTTGCATGGCATAGTCAAAGCCCAGACTTAACCCCCATTGAAAATCTCTGTAATGACTTGAAGACGCAGTCCACAAACGGTGACCATCACATTTAATTGAACGTAAGCAGTTCTGCAAAGAAGAGTGGACAAATATTGCGAAGTACTAGATGTGAAAAGTTTGTAGAAACCTATCCCAACAGACTAAAGGCTGAAATTAAAAGCAAAAGGTTCCAACAGAATACTGACACAAGGGGGTGATCCTTTTTTCCAACTCATTGATTCTGTTTTTAATTTTTTTTTTTTTTCTGACATGTTGGTGTTATATCTTTCACTTGGATGTTATAAGCTGCACTGTGTAAACACAGCTGGATAAAACAAAAACTGTGTCTGTCTTCATTTCAAGCCGCAAAGCAGCAAAATGTGATTATTTTTAAAGGGGTGGTTCTTTTCTATACATACTGTAGATCAAATTTTGTTCTTTCCCTCCTGAAATTTTAATACCGTTTGTACTCAGCTTTACCCCAGCATTTGCAGTTTACAGCCTTTCAAAGCTGACAGCCCCTGCTCTCGCAGAGATACTTCCCCAACACCTTGTTTTCATAGGAAAGAGGTAACTGTGGATAATGTAGTCTCAAGCCTGTCTGTTGGCTTGAAGAAGGGAAAATCCAAGGAAGTGCCTTGTCATCCTATGCTATGGGGCTCTGTGGTTTGGTTAATGGACACAGTGTAGGAAGACACAACTCTAGTCTCTGCATGAAAGGGTAACTCCAAATGATGTTGTAGAAAAAGCAGCCACCCTGTAACAGAAAACCTGGGGCATGCAGCAACTTAAGCTAGGATATAAATTTAAAAGACAAAGAAACTGCATACTCCATACGTGAATGAATCAGTTAACAAAAATGCTTTAAAACATGAGGGCTTAATATCTTTTAAAGGCACTGCTAAAAAACTGGGGTAGGATGAAGTGATGTCACCTCATCACTTTGGTGCTCACTGTCTGTTTGCTGGAGATTCTGACATGAGGGAGCAAAGTCCTGCCTCTACCAAGATGGCCTCCTCCATACATGGGAAAGCAGGAAGATTGGCACTGGAACGTTAGCGTTATCCCATTGATATGGGAATTTAGAGTGATAGTTGGATACAGTGTTTGGATTCTTGGCTGACAGCCTTTCCTTACCAAAGGATTTCCAGAGAATCCTTTGCTTGTGCCTGAATGGATCTGGAATCAAAGCACCACACAATGTAAATAATTGTCCAGTTATATATTTATCCAATATGAATTAGGACAAAGGATGGAGCCAACATGTTTTGGGGACTCAAAAATGGCCTACATGATAGCTCATAGGTAGAGAACGATGTTACAGTTGTGTTCAAAATAATAGCAGTGTGTTGAAAAAAGTGAATAAAGCTCAAAATCCTTCTAATAGCTTTTATTTCCATACACACCAATGCATTGGGAACATTACACATTCTATTCCAAATCAAAACATGAAGAAAAATATATCAGATTTGTGCTGTTCCTCTAAAAACAATTGAAGAAAAGTGAATATTAGACTGTTCAAAAAAATAGCAGTGTTTGTATTCTTTACAAACTCAAACATTCACTATATAAACTGAAAAATGAACCAGCAAACACAAATGCTCCTGCGCTTGGGGATGGACTCGATGCAGGCTACAACCACATTAAGAATGTCCTGGAACATGCACACCTTGCTGCCCTCAAATGGACCGGGGGAATCCAAATATACTGAATGGGGAAAGAACAAAAAGAGGGCGCACAGGCCTAGTGCATTACCATAAAAAATGTTTAATAAAAAATAAAGTAGGTGTTGTACTCACAAACGACAATATAGTCAAGGCACATCATAAAAGAACAGCTGGATCAACACCGCGCTGAGTAACAGTCCGCAATAGGGAGTTTAGACATCCAGAGCCCTAGGGCTCTGAGGAAGAGGCAAGTCCTCGAAACGCGTCAGCCTTTTGGATGTCTAAACTCCCTATTGCGGACTGTTACTCAGCGCGGTGTTGATCCAGCTGTTCTTTTATGATGTGCCTTGACTATATTGTTGTTTGTGAGTACAACACCTACTTTATTTTTTATTAAACATTTTTTATGGTAATAAACTGAAAAATGTTTGAAGATTTTGCTTTCCTTTGAATCATTTAATTAATATTTAGTTGTATAACCACTGTTTCTGAGAACTGCTGTACATCTGTGTTGCATGGAGTCAACCAACTTCTGGCACCTGTGAACAGGTATTCCAGCCCAGGATGATTGGACTACATTGCACAGTTCTTCTCTATTTCTTGGTTTTGCCTCAGAAACTGCATTTTTGATGTCACCCCACAAGTTTTCTATTGGATTAAGATCCGGGGATTGGGCTGGCCACTCCATAACGTCAATCTTGTTGGTCTGGAACCAAGATGTTGCACGTTTACTGGTGTGTTTGGGGTCGTTGTCTTGTTGGAACACCCATTTCAAGGGCATTTCCTCTTCAGCATAAGGCAGCATGACCTCTTCAAGTATTCTGATGTATTCAAACTGATCCATGATCCCTGGTATGTGATAAATAGGCCCAACACCGTAGTATGAGAAACATCCCCATATCATGATGCTTGCGCAACCATGCTTCACTGTCTTTACAGTGTACTGTGGCTTGAATTCAGTGTTTGGGGGTCATCTGACAAACTGTCTCCGGCCACTAGACCCAAAAAGAACAATCTTACTTTCATCAGTCCACAAAATGTTGCGCCATTTCTCTTTAGGCCAGTCAATGTGCTCTTTGGCAAATTGTAACCTCTTCAGCACGTCTTTTTTTCAACAGTGGGACTTTGCCGGGGCTTCTTGCAGATAGCTTGGCTTCACATAGGCCTCTTCTAATTGTAACAGTACTCAGAGGTAACTTTAGAGCTTCTTTGATCTTCCTGGAGCTGATTGTTGGCTGAGTCCTTGCCATTTTGGCTATTCTTCTATCCATTCAAATGGTAGTTTTTCGCTTTCTTCCACGTCTTTCAAGTTTTGGTTGCCATTTTAAAGCATTTGCGATCATTTTAGCTGAGCAAATGGAAAATGAAAGTGCAGCGCTAAGATGAATGGTGACAGTGTAATCAAAATCTTATGCAAGAATTACTAAAAGATAACGGCGGCGTGATATCAATGCGTGCAAGGGCTCCTCCTAGAGGCATCACCCCTACAGCAGACGTGTCTTTACATGAAACGCGTCTAGGAGGAGCCCTTGCATGCCTTGACGTCACGCCGCCGGATCAGGAGGTCCGGCGGCCACCTTATGGTTCACACTGGTCAGTGTATTCAACAATTCAGGCTACCACTACTCACAGTCATCTTGTGCGTTTATTTTTATTCATTTATGCTTGTATTTGATACATTACTAATTCATGCTTAATAAATCTTGTGGAATACTACACTATGAGCACCTATATCTTTATTGCCTTGCACTGAGCTCCCACACCTCAGCCCAGGATTCCAGGTGACCTGTCCAGGCCTAGGAAGCAAGTCCTAAGGCCAGACCAGTATTCCCGTTACCTGCCACCCAAACTGAGGGACCACCTGAGGATCATCCTAGTACCAGGCAGTACCTGCATAGGATCTCTGGCCAGCTGAGGATCTCTATATGGGCATTAAGATTGCGCTTCCGGTGAGTGGGCAATCTTTCCATACTTTCACATCGGGATGCTGGAGCAGTGCTCATACTGATTTAAGTCTTCATATATCTTTTTGGACTGATCACCTATTTAGTTCACCACATTGGACTTCATATCTTTTAGTAATTCTTGCATAAGATTTTGATTTTACTGTCGCCATTCATCTTAGCGCTGCACTTTCATTTTCCATTTGCTCATTATAGAAAGGTTTTTGTGGTTCCTTTTTGTGCATTTAGCTGCTTTGAAGTGTGCTCGCTAGGCCACCATTTTAGCTGAGCAGTCTATCATTTTCTGCACTTCTTTATATGTTTTGCCCTCTTCAATCAACTTTTTAATCAAGGTACGCTGTTCTTCTGAACAATGTCTGGAACGACCCATTTTCCTCAGAATTTCAGAAAGAAATGCACTGTAACCAGCATGTACAACATTTGCTGCTTTCCTTCCTTAAATAAGGGCAATAATTGCCACATGTTTTTCAAAGAATGAATGCCCTCACTAATAGAACTCCACACTGCTATTATTTTGAACATGCCCCTTTCAATTAGTGATTCAATTACACAGAATCAGCAGCATGCATGTCATGACTGTTGGGTCTATTGTATTTCTATTACTCTACTACACCTGCTAGTAAATTATTTGCCATGTAGAAATATCATTTCTACCAAAAACAGTGATTGATCAGGTTAGTGATGTCTGACTGCTATTATTTTGAACACAACTGTATACTGGAAAAAGCAGTATATGTGAATTAAATAGTATTTTGACAGGAGGCGTGAAGTGTCTGTCAGCAGCTAGTTGCAGCTGCTACAACTATACTCTGCAGTTGCTGTCAAAATACTGTTAATGTGATCTAATCTCAGATCCTTACAGTGCAGAACAAGACATGATAAGTTTCTTACGAGAAAAGACCAGCTGCAGGGAGATCACAAGCAATACTGCTAACCAGTCTTTTGCCTTTTTCTGGGAATAGTTTCCAGAATTCCTGTCATCTTTTTAAACCAGTGATAAAGAATGCTTGACATTCTCATGTGTTTGTTATGCACACATCGATTTATAAAGAAACCTTTTACCTCATGTGCACTGAATCTGAGTATTGCAGATGTGGGCATGTCTCACAGATTGTCAACTTCCTTGAAAGATCTTCCTGTCTGTGCCCAAGCTTAGGCACAAGATAGAAGATTTAGGTGACCAGTAATGTTAAGGTGCTCAAAAAAAGTACGTGAGTTTTTTTATTAATAATAATAATAATAATAATAATAATCTATTTAGACAATTTTGGTCCCATAGACTTCAGTGGGAGCATCTGTGTTTCTGCTCATTTCTGTGTCTGAAGAACTCCTCTCTGCCTCTAGAACCGCTCTCCTCCCCTTGCCCAACCCAGGAAACAAACTCTTGAAGCTTGATACACATGCAAAATATCCCCCCTTCCCCCTCCAAAATTAAAAGTTTCAAAATGAGCAGGAATACGCTGGGCACACGTATGAATGCAGGCTTAGGGAATGTAAATTTGTTTTTCATTCGGCAGGTTCTGATGCAAAGGAATTGTTACTCAAGCTTAAAGGTCATTCGGAAGAAATGAAGTCAAAGGTGCAATTCTTGGAACTGGCCAAAAAATTACTCCAGGTAATCCAAGTTATGATATTTTTGTATAAAGTGTGTTTCATTCACCAGCCACTGGGCACTGTTTGATTTACACTCTGGGGAAATGCATTTAATTGAGCTCATATTCACATTTTGACTTAGTTCAGTGATATCCCCTAAAGTTTGCAATAATTACCTCTGCTTTGATGGTCTGAAATACCTCGTCTGCACGTTCTCCTTGGCTTCTTTCTAGAGCCTGTATTCAGACATCCTGATTGACCGGGGCATGATGACGTCACTCCTGCACATGCTCAGGAGTACAGTCATCCCAGCACACAGGTGCAGTGTCAGATTTAAACCGAGCTGCACATTCATAGCTTAGTGTTCAATCTAAAGAGGGCTGTGAACAGGCAGGTAAGTTTATTTTATTGCAGAAGAGACATTGCATGTGTCTTCTGCAAAGAAGTGCCTGCCTGCCCAATTGCAGTTTTTTGTTTTGTTTGTTTTTACTTAAGACTTTAGTTCCACTTTAATGGTTCAGTCCACCTAAGGTTGATATTCCATATACAGGTGGAGTGTAGTAAAAGTAAGGAGGGGCATGTTAGATGCTTTTCTTGCAAAGGTTTTCCAGATGAATTAGTGAAGCAAATAAATTTGATGTTTGCATCACACAATATTTGTTTGAGTGTATTTATATTTATTTGTCAGCAGGAGAGTTTTCTGTAGGATTCAGGAACAAGATGGTGCAGCCTAGAAGCCAGCAATCCCTCATAGACCTGCTTTATTCGGGCAGAAGTTTTCCCTAAGATAGAGAGACAGTCTTTGATCACTCTTAGGCCTTTCACAAATTATCATGCATCTTGCCTATAAACAGCCCTTTCCCTCCTATGTGTCACATTGGGCAGTTGAATAGGACCTAAGCAAACAAGATTCATGTTTTACCATTGACAATATTAGAGCTCTAGGGTTTCCCCCTACCCTAGTATCCTACTATTTTAAAATATATTCTAAATAACTTTTTTGTTAAGTTTTCACAATGATTAATCCACCAAATTGTTCATGGAATGTTGGTGAATGTCTGACACTGAGATCCTTAATGTTGTATTATGGTTATCAATCATGATCATGGATCTAACCATCTTACTTTATATATGAAGGTTTCCTATGCAGAACAGTGGGGAATTGAGCCACGTGATCTTCCTACAGTGGCAGACCTTGCAAGTCAAAAGTCACTGAGCTCTTCAGAGGATGACGCCTTCCTTCTAATATATAATGACAGAGGTCATAGCCGGGACAACACATCCAAAAATTTACAAGCTGGAACACCTCTTGGATTGCTTGCCTACCTCTACTGCAGGTCTGCTTTAAGTTACAAATGAAATATGTTCCTTAATGGTTTCATTTATAAATACGAAAATCACTTAAGAGCCTTAACTTAAATGACCCCCCCTCTTCCCATGTAGCAAAACTAACATGGTTTATTAGCACGAATCTTTCAAAACGTAGCTGTATTTGGAAAACCCTTGATTGATGCTTATTCTGACAAAAATGCTTTGTTGCTTATCTAGCGTATTCAAATTTTGTTTCACTTATGCACGTATTGAATATTTCTAGGCACATTATGCTGCTGTATTTTTTACTCATCTGCTGTTATGTCCAAGTTTCTTCATTCAAGTTACTGACCCAGCTCCTGTCTCAGGTATCAGGGAACACTCTGTACCCAATTAACAAGTCTTTATGAATCTGGAGTGCAAATACAAAAACTGCATTTTCACAGCTCTAGAAGCATTGAAAGATAACTGAATTTAATTTACAGATAACAGGGACTTTTTTGTGCACTTGATAATTGCTGGAAACCAGGAAGGTTTTTGGACAGCAATTTCTGGGCCTGTACTAGCAAATCAGGTGTAGTTTGAAATGGGCATTTATATTGTTTTTTGGCTAAAGGAGTACGATCTTCTCCCTTACAAAGGTTACTTTTGTACATTTCACAAAGACCAAGCCAGATGCATCTTATTTTGTTCCTAAATATAATAATAATGTAATATACATTTTATGTGTGTTTTGTGTTTTACACACATATATTTACATACATATCAGGTACACACTTAAAGTGAATGTCACCTAAAAATGAACTTCTCTTATTTGCTTTCTTTTTGGTATGTTAAATATACAATTGAAAGAATTTTATTATATCTGTTCAGTAAGTGAATAAAAATACCAGTTGATCCTGCCAGGAATTGTGAACTTTCCTGGGCCCTATATAATCTAGCTATGTTGTCTCAAAGAGTCTAATCTGCCCCAGCTCCCCCTATGTTGTGGAGATAAGGAGAGGGTGAGGGATTCTTTAGTTTACCAAAAAACATCTACTGTAAGCAGTGCTGGCACAATTCCTTTTTGACTTCAGAAAACAGACTGCATTGTTAGCCACTGAGTGTATTTCTGATTGTTCTCTCAACTTGCAGGGTCTTTAACCACTTGCCCTCCAGAGGATTTACCCCCTTCCTGACCAGGCTATTTTTTGCAATGCTGCGCTGCGTTACTTTTAGCTGAAAATTGCGTGGTCTCACATCGCTATACATAAATGAAATTTATGCCATTTTTTTCCACAAATAGAGCTTTCTTCTGGTGGTATTTGATTACCCCTGCATTTTATATTTTTTGCGCTATAAACAAAAACAATTTGACAATTTTGAAAAAAAAAAATATTTTTTACTTTTTCCTATAAAACATATCCAATAAAAAAATTCAAAAATCAAATTTCTTCATAAATTTAGGCCAAAATGTATTCTTCTACATGTCTTTGCTGAAAAAAATCCCAATAATTGTGTATTAATTTGTTTATGTGAAAGTTATAGCATCTACAACTGGAGTTATAAATACTGTAATTTTGTTTATACTAGTAATGGCGGCGACTTAGAGCGGGACTGCGGTGGGCATTCTGACACTGCGTGGGAACTGACGAACTGCCACTGACATCCCCAGTGACACTAATACAATGATCAGGGCTAATAAAAAGCACTGACACTGCACTAATGACACTGGGCAGGAAGGGAAATGCAAATCACGTACATATATACGTGATTTTGCGCAGCCGTGCCACCCTCTAGCAGTACTTCTGCTATAGGGCGGATGGCAAGTGGTTAAAGTGAAAAACATGAACCAAGTATGTATTGCAGAGAATGCGCTGCATATAAATATATTTTTTTATTATTTTACCCTGACATTCATTTTATATACCCTTAGGACCCCAAAAGTAATATTGGGGTCCACGTTGAAGGATGGATGCAGAGCATTTAATTAGCCTTGTTCATGCAGCTTCATCAAATTGAGTAACAGAACAAATGTGTCTTACACAAATCTCCCTGATTGATTAATCACAGCCTGTGTCCTTCGCTTCCGACTTCTTTTCCTGCACAGGAATGCTCTTCTTTTTATGTTTGGAAAATGTGCATATGCATGCTAATGCAGAGTCATGTCTTCCCTACCCTTAGCACTTTAGTTGTGCTCTAAGCAGCTTCCTGCACTTAGCAAACATAAATGGAAGATGACTAAGAAGGTTGCAGGCTACAGTAAATTGAATATGCTGATACCTGCAAGAAGGGTAAGTGCTAATGCTAATAAATGTTGGACACTATATAAATATAGTTATCATTAACCAGCTGTAGGCCTTTGGAATGCTATGTATGCCCCTAAAAACGTATTCAACGTTCATAGGGTGGACATAGCATGCACTTTCCCTCTCCCCTACTGCTCATACTAGCAATTTTCAGCTGTCAAATTGACAGCTGGAACCTCCTGCCAGAGGTTCTGTCAAAAATAAAGCTTTTTTATATATCCTACACAGGGCCTACTGGCTAGGTATCGCCACTCTCATAGCCCACCGTGTCCCAGATGTTCTGACTCTAGAAGTACATATAGTCATTTGCTAAGCGCCTACCCAGCCCTCCAAGGCTTTTGGCTATACGTGGTGCAATCCTACATGAACAAATGGGTTCACCCCTGACTGTAGATCCTAAACTGTGACTTCTGGGATAGCTCCCTAACCCAGATGCTGATAAATTTATGGCAATATTCCTGTCTAAAGTTCTATTTGTTGTAACATGGGTCAATGAAGTTAACCTAACCCTTCAGTACAAAAATCTTATTTATGTTCATAGGGGTTGCCCCACCAAATAAAACAAAATATGGGACTGCTGGCTGGAACTTCCTGCCACATCGGACAGAAAAGAGAGAATATTTGTAGCAGGTGGTTTCCTCTTAGGAGCAGTCGTCAGTCCAAAGACCTCCAAGCTCCCCAGCCATCCAACTACATACCATATAACAGTACCCTTCTCCCTCTCTTTTTTTTTTTTTTCCCCATAAAGGGGGATAAAGAGTGTTTATTAGATTTTGATCGTGGGTGCCTGCTATTGAGGTCCAGGGCTGCAGTTAATATACATGTTTTTTCTGCAGGGATTGTCACAAGTGAGTTTTTGTGCACAAGTACAATTGTTGAACCTACACAGTCTTTTATATTTGTATGTACCATACTTTTTTATTTGGTGGCTCGCTACATGGATCTATTTTTTTAATGTAAAAATGGAGCTTCTACATAGCGTTTTGAGAACCCTGTTCAGACGCTGAATGAGAAATACAATGTCACTTTATTGTTACTTTGTATTTATTATGTCATTCATATGAAGCTCAAAACGATGACCTTTTTTCTGCATATGATTTCAGATAGAGCAACACTACAAAGGCATTTTTTTTTCTTTTTAACAAAATGTGTTCCTTTTTAATTCCCTATCAACACTTAGTTGAAAAAGAAGTATGGCTAAAGCTTTTTTTGGCCATGTTTCTCTTCCAGGTCACAGGAGTGCACTTATTTCTGCACTCCTGTGACCCAGATTCAGCAGACAGTGGGCTAAAGCCCGCTGTTGGCTGACATCACAAAGCCGGTCCAAACTCTGAAGGGATCCCAACAATAATGTTGGGATCCACCCAGATGCCTGTCAGGCAGCTGGCTCAGCCTCTCAGTACACTGCTGAGAGCCTGAGCCAGTCGCTCCCACCCCCTCCACAGCCCAGCACTCCAGTGTGGGTGGTTGTTTGCTCGCTAAAGGCCGAAAACTGAGAGATCAGCTGTCATGTGATCTCAGTCTTAGAATCCTCTCCTTTAACCCTAATCAGCCGTAATTAACTCCCACACCTACCCTTCTCTTAGCTATTGCTTTGCTACTGATTTTTATTTTATTTCTATATTTTTAACAAATTCAGTTTTTATTCATTTTTTTTGTTTCTTTAACACTTATCAAATTAGAATAAAAGTTTTTTTTTGTGTTTTATGTCTTTTTTTGCTTATAGATTGCATAGTATAAAAAAATAATATATGTATTATTTTGTTATTTTAAGCAATGGCAATGTTATTGAAGAATAAACAGCCTATATCGGAAATTTAAAAACTTCTGTAGTCCATACGGGGTACCCAGGTGCTGAAGCAGTGAAAAGTGTAAACTCACCACAGATTATCCGTGTTGTATGTGCCTTAGTGTATAATTATTCAGTTGCTCTGCTGAGGGGAAAAAAAAAGTTGTGCCTTCTCCTCAACAATTTCTAAGATTCCACTCAGACAACCGTATTTCCAGATGTGGCTTTCATGTGGTATAACTAACTGCAAGGAAACCATTTCTGAAAGATTTTTTAATGTGATTCATGCCAGTCACCCCACAGCTGTACTGCAGTTTTGGGGGCTTCACAACAGGATGAAGGAACCACATAAAAACAAACTTGGATTCAACAAACAAATGGGGCTTCAAAACATACTATATCATGATTGGTTAGTGAAATAAATATTTCCTGATTTATGTGAGAAGTGACAGCCATCTATAGACAATCCAGATATGACTAGGAATTGTTCACAGCAGGTCAGATGTGAAGACAGTTAAGCGTTAGGACAAGACCCTTAGGCTACTTAGCAATACGGCATAATTAAAGCATATTAAGACCAAAAAGCAAACGTAATTTATTGCAGCTCACTCAAATAATGTGGCTGCATTCATTTTCTTTTTCTGTGCATTTTTCCCTGTTATTTTCACCTGGCAAGTCTGAGAAAAACACACTTTGTGTTCTAGGGTAGCTTCCATTACTCTCTGGCAGAACATGCTCTTAACCTGAAAAAAAGAAAAAAAATGCAGCCACCACCGTCTAAAGAATGATAAGCTGCAATATATTACATTTTTATTCTTAGGTTTAGTAATCCTTTAAAGGAGCTTCTGCGATTTGATGAAACTTTTGATCTCTGTGACCCTTAAGCTGGTCATACACGGATCAAAATTTGACCAGTTTAACATGTATGGACAGGCTGACTGTACCCAAGTTGATTCATCGATCGACTTTGGTACAACCAGCTCATCTAATTTTTTTGCATGTGATTCCTGCCAGCAGCTTTAACTGCTAGCATAAGTGATTGTATTCTGCTGACCAGAAGGCTCCCCATGTCCCCCAATGGCAGAATACAATACTGCCGTGGGAGAAATTCCCCCATCAACACGGACTGTGGTGGAAGGAAAGAAAATTGATTAATCTATGGCTTGCTTTAGTTTTTATGTCTATATTACTTATCACCCTCACCCTGCCCTCTCACTATTGCTGTACTGTACTTATCAGCTCTTGCAAATTCTGAAAATCTGCATGCTGACCAAAACTTCCAGGCCACTGGGGCATCTGCCTTCATATAAATCATACTTCCAAAGTACTTCGCTCACTTTTCTGCTTCTTCTAACTTCTCTCCTGGACTTGTATCAAGCTTTCTTGATGGTTACCCTTTCTTTCCTCTGAATTACCCACAAAGGCAACTTCTACATCCCTGTTAATCTTAGCATTCCAGTTACCTTTCAGCTTCTCAGCCTAAAACCCCCCATTTAACCCTAATATCAAACAATACACACTTCTACTCTCTCTGATGGCAACCTCCTTCACCTTGGAACTTCTTCCAAAACTTCTTTTCTTCCTTTTTCTGATCACAACTTGCTTATCTTCACATTCTCCCTGACTTCAACATCCTATCCCTCCAAATGACAGTTACCTTAGAAACCTTTGCTACATTAGCACGTCTTTATTTAACAAAAGAGAGGAGAAAGGCACCTCTAAGTGTAAACTGTAAAACTTGATTTATTGCACATAAAGACAGCAACTTACAGGAGGGTAGGTTAAAAAAGGCACTTCAATGTCCATCAACGGGAATCCATTGAATGTCATGGTGTGCAGGTCTAGCTGATGAACTGTCATCTGTCAGTGTCAGGCATAGCGGCCAGCAAGATGGAGGAAGTCTGGCACCGAGGCTTGGAACGCACCGTGGAGCGCAGCGTGTGCGTGATGGTGTCACTGGGCATCGTAGCAACGCGTTTACTGAGCATGCTCTTTGCTGTTTCTCTTCTTGCCTATCTCAGCCAACCATCAGTGTCACGATACCTACTCTTTTGCAACGTCTCTTTCTGTAGGTGTCCTCAACGGTTTCATCCTTGGACCCCTTCTATTCTCTAGTTTCTCCTCCCTGGGTCAGCTCATGGCCTCTCTTGACTTCCAATACCATTTCTATGCTGACGACAACCCAAATCTATCTCTCTCCTCCTCTGCTCAGCCCGCTAGTGTCCTTCTGCTTCACTAACTTACTTCCTCAGTGTTTCCAAAACTGAGCTCATAATATGTACACCCCACCTGTCTTCTCCTCTGACTTCACCATCACGATGAGTGCCCAATTAGCAGTACCTCAGGCCAGGGTGCTAGGTGTTATCCCAGACTCTGACCTCTCCCTTCAGTCCCACATCCAATCACTGTCCATAACTTTCCACCTTAACTCCCTTAACTTATCTACAAATTGCATCACTTCCTAATCATCGCCAACAAAAAGCTACTATTTCACTCCCTTATTATCTCTCAGCTTGAATATTGCAACATTCTCCTCTTTGGCTTACCTTTCCTTAGGCTATCCCTCCCTAAGGCTATCATAAATGCTACTGCCAGGCTCACCTTACCAACCATTCAGTGTGTGCTAGCCCTCTCTGCCAATCTGGCTTCCATTTCCCCAAAAAGTAAAAGTTATAATCTTAACAACATACAAAGCCATCCAAAACTCTGCTCTGAGCTACATAACCAACTTGGACTCAAAATATCACCCAAACCATCCTCTTCGCTCCTCCCAATAATACCTCCTGCTTTCTAGCCCTCTCATGCTCACCTCCAGTACTTCAGGGCCTCTACCATCTTTTGGAATTCCTTACCTCAATTGGTGTGGCTATCTCCTACTCTGTCCACCTTTTAGGTGACCCCTGAAAACTACTGTCTTTAGGGAGGCCTATCCCATCTCCACATAGTAAACTACTTTTACTTCTTCATCAGCTCATCCCATCAGCTATTACCTTTTGTACCACTTGACCCAACCTTTAAGATTTTAAGTTCTTACATGTAGGACCCTCTGAATCCTTTTCTATTGAATTGTATTGTGACTGTACTATCTCCCTTTATTTTTTAAAACAGTGTATAAGCTGTTGGTGCTATATAAATTGTGTAAAATAATATTGTGAGCAGAATTTGTAAATATGAATGTAAGTTAGGTCCCATTCACACATAGTTCTTTAGAGGTATGTAAATCCTAACAATGAACTTCACTTCCTTGGTTCTTTAGCTCTTTCAAATGTACCAAAGAAAGTTTGTCATATCTATTCAAAAGAGGGCACAAATACCTGCTGATAACTAACTTCCTGTGCTCTCTGCCTATGCTGCATTCTTATCCGTTACATTGTTACCAGCTATGTCTCTGGAATAGAGGTACCTTATCTCCATTATGGAGGAGAAAGGGCTAAGTTGTTTTGTAGCCATGTCCAAGAGTCCCATACACCCAGTGTGGTGGGTGATTATGATCACCCTAGGAGAAGAAGTGTGCTATTGTCAGGATCACCAAATGAAATAAAGGGGATAACTAGAAAAAAAATTAGCAAACCCAATAGTAGTCTACAATATGTTAAATTATTGTTCCTGGATTTAGATGTTGGAAGGTGAGTTGTACATGTCATGGCCGAAATTGTTGGCACCCTTGATATTTTTCCTGAAAATCAAGTATTTCACACAAAAAAGGTATTGCATTAACACATGTTTTTGCTATACACATGTTTATTCCCTTTGTATGTATTGGAACAAATTAAAAACAGAGGCAGAAAAGCAAATATGACATAATGTCACACACAAAACCCCAAAAATGGGCTGGACAAAAGTATTGGCACCCTTAACTTAATATTTGGTTGCACACCCTTTGGAAAACATAACTGAAATCAGTCGCTTCCTATAACCATCAATAAGCTTCTGACACCTCTCACCCGGAATTTTGGACCACTCTTCCTTTGCAAACAGCTAAAGGACACCTTTTCCCAACAGCAATTTTAAGATCTCTCCACAGGTGTTCAATGGGATTTAGATCTGGGCTCATTGCTGGCCACTTCAGAACTCTCCAGCGCTTCTTTGCCATCCATTTCTGAGTGCTTTTTTGACGTATGTTTGGGGTCATTGTCCTGCTGGAAGACCCAGGATCTTGGACGCAAACTACAGCTTTCTGACACTGGGCCCTACAGTGCGACCCAAAATCCTTTGGTAATCCTCAGATTTCATGATGCCTTGCACACAGTCAAGGCACCCAGTGCCAGAGGCAGCAAAACAACCCCAAAACATCATTGAACCTCCACCATATTTTACCGTAGGTACTGTGTTTTGTTCTTTGTAGGCCTCATTCCGTTTTCGGTAAACAGTAGAATGATGTGCTTTACCGAAAAGCTCTATCTTGGTCTCATCTGTCCACAAGACGTTTTCCCTAGAAGGCTTTTGGCTTACTCAAGTACATTTTGGCAAACTGTCTGTGTCAGCAGTGGGGTCCTCCTGGGTCTCCTGCCATAGCGTTTCATTTCATTTAAATGTCGACGGATAGTTCGCGCTGACACTGATGCTCCCTGAGCCTGCAGGACAGCTTGAATGTCTTTGGAACATGTTTGGGGCTGCTTATCCACCATCCGGACTATTCTGCGTTGCAATCTTTCATCAATTTTCCTCATCCGTCCAGACCAGGGAGATTGCTACAGTGCCATGGGTTGCAAACTTCTTGATAATGTTGCGCACTGTGGACAAAGGCAAATCTAGTTCTCTGGAGATGGACTTGTAACCTTGAGATTGTTGATATTTTGCCACAATTTTGGTTCTCAGGTCCTCAGACAGTTCTCGTCTCCTCTTTCTGTTGTCCATGCTTAGTGTGGCACAGACAGACACACAATGCAAAGGTTAAGTGTCTCTCCTTTTTATCTGCTTTCAGGTGTGATTTCTATATTGCCCACACCTGTTACTTGCCCCAGGTGAGTTTACAGGAGCATCACATGCTTGTAATATCCGCAGTTGTGAAAGGGTGCCAATACTTTTGTCCAGCCCATTTTTGGAGGTTTGTGTGACATTATGTCGAATTTGCTTTCTTTCCTCCCTTTTTTTTTTTTGTCCCAATACACACAAAGGGAATAAACATGTGTATAGCAAAACATGTGTTAATGCAATACGTTTCGTGAGAAATACATGATTTCCTGGAGAAATATCAAGGGTGCCAACAATTTCGGCCATGACTGTAGTCACAATAGATATGTATTTAGTGATTCAGCTTGCCATTGGTGTTGCCTTTGAAGGTTTGTATAAATCCCAGACATAATATGGTACACAGGTCACTGCAGAGTCTGCATGATCTGGGCAGAAAAGTAAAGACAGACTGGCATATACTTAGATGTGTGTGACTATCAACATCACCTGCCTGGTAAATGAGGCTGTAAAGAGACATATTTGGTCCATGTGCAAGAAGCCTAACACTGTTCTTCCTAAAGTGAAAAATGACCTTCCCTAACCACCTTCTGTATGCCTCCATACCAATGTGTCCAAGTGTTTTATTCTGTATTAAGCCTCACTGAGTAGAATGTCACTGCTGTCGTTGAAAATCAGTAGCATACCTGCTAACATTGTATACAGCCAGACTGCAGAGTATATTGTATACATTTCTCAAAGTGCTGATGTGTATCATTTTATCACAGGAATGCTGTTTTGGATGGGTATGTGCAGCAGTTGCTCTACAGTTTCCGATATTTCTGTTCCCAAGAGGATTTGCTGCAGTTCCTTATTGACCGGATTATTAACACAGTGCCAAGGTACTAATTAAATATATGCCACACTACCTAATGCTGTTTTCTTGAAAACATAACTAATTTTTATTTTGAAATTCTGTAGCAGAATGGCAAATTCATAGTTTTGTACGTAGCAACGAGCTGGACAAATGCCAGGAGCAAAGTAACCAAAGATCCTTCAGAATTACAGCTGGCTCCTAATTTTGAGGTTCACCCTAGTTTTTATTAGTAGAGCAGGCTCCTAAAAGTAAAAAACAAACAAACTTGTAGGCTCCTTGATTGGACAGACCAGCTTCTGAAGTCCATATTAATTTATCTAGTCCATTATAGCATTTGCTATCTTATACCAATGCACTCCTTTAAATGATGCAGTTTTGTACAGTTCTATATGGAAGACTGACACAACATCTTGTGTGTCTGCATTCCCCTACTAATGATGAGCAAAAGTGATCCAAACTACCGTAGATTTTTTTTTTTTATGATCAGATGAAGAATTCGGTCAAGTACTCTTTGTAAATGTAGTAGGTGATTTCAAATAGACAGCCTTCTTGTGCATATACATTTCAGTTTGCTTCTGAGATTTTGATGCCCTTAAAGGCTAAATTTACACCCATTATTAGGGCCAGTGCGATCAGTAGCGGCAGGAATCCTGCTGCAGCTTCAAGTGGGTAGGTGCGTCTGCCAGCCCCAATCATTATGACAGGTCGCTGGTGGCCGCAGCAATTCATGAGTCTCTACACAACCAGCGGTTACCTGCGGTGATCGGTAGTGGGAACACTCTGTGTGGGTCCAGCAGCGATCACCACAGTTAATTGCTGGCTATGCAGAGAGTCACAAATAAGTGTGGCCACCAGAAATGTGCCCTTATCAAGAACTGGTTTGGTGGCCGCACCTACCCACTGAGAGCCACAGCAGGAACTGCTGCTACAATTTGCATGAGCCCTAATTGCCAGTGTGAATGTAGCCCAACTCACATTTAGGTGGAAAAATTAAACAAAACTAAAAGCTGTACGTTGTCACTTCTCTTTAACTGACAGTGGTGGGGAAGGCAACAGGTATCACATAGCTCTAACTCATAAAAGGAGAACAGACTACAGATTATTGGGGTGTCTAGTATTACTGTCAAACCGATAGCCCTAAATACAAAATAATTTACAGGTTATGTTTAACAAAACAATCCCCTTTCACGCATAGAAGAAAAAATATATTTCAAATATATTTTAAAAGTATTTTTCCCAAATATATTGACATATATTTGAAATACTACAATTTTGGCCATATTATATATATATATATATATATATACTGCATGTTGAAATGCATTTTTTATATCTGAAAAATATATTTTTTAAAAATATATATTTTTTAAATGTATTCTTCAGATTTTTTTTAACATATTAAAGTAATTTTAACATATATTTTTACATATATTTGTAAATGCATTCCAAAAATGTAGATTTGTATTTTTAAAGACATACAGTATATTTGAAATGTATTTTTAAAAATATTTTTCATATACTTTGTAATAAAAACGCATCTCAACATACAACATATAGTGTATATATGTGTGTGTGTGTGTGTGTGTGTGTGTGTGTGTGTATATATATATATATATATATATATATATATACATATGTTATTTTATACAAAATATTTTGAAAAATACATTTCAAATTTATTTTTCTTCCATATGGTTGTCATTTTAATACTAAATAATATTTATATAATCCTTTTACATCCATTCTGCTTTTGCATCCCGTAAATAACAGGCTACATAATAATCATAATATCCATCCACTTGTGATTAAACCTTTACTACCTTACAGATATTTAATTTGAGTCAATTGTAATTAGTTGGATCTCTGTGACATCAACAGTTGTCATTGAAGTTGCACAGCTAAATTAGGTCTGTTTTATTATTGTTCTACAACAACCACTCTGTTTTGTATGTTCGTAGGGAAGACGCAGACCCATGCTGTTTGAATGCAAAAATCTACCATCGATCGCTCATCCTGTTACAAACTTGGATTGAGGACTGCTGGCACATTGACTTCTCTGTGAATGCGGACTTGTTAGATAGGCTTGAAGACTTGAGCAACTCTCAGGTGAGCTTATTTATTTGTAAAGATCTAAATTGCTGTATTCACAGTTTATGTATTTTTTCCTCTCATATAGGCTTAATCTCGTTTTCCTATGTTTTCTTTTTTTAAAGCATGTGTTGCGTGGTTTCAAAACTATGTGATTAAATCAATAAAGGAAACTAATTATTGTCCTGTATTTTCTTTTTAACATGTAATACCGAAAAAAAAAAACTTTAAAATGTACTTTCATTCTCCTCCATTAATGGGCACCGGAAATCCTAAACCTTGGGGTTATACTGCCATCGACCAGAGAATTAGACACTGGCTACCAAAAAACTGTAGACTGGCCCCAGCTTTAGTTGTTTGGATTTTTTTGCTAGTGTCCTAGGAGGATGGACATTTTTTTCTTCCGTTCTGTTTGAAAGACTAAACCTTGACTTTTTCTAGCATTTTTTTTCTTTCTTCAGTCAAGATTCTTCTACATCAATTGCTACTGGTTGTTTTTATCGACCAGCTTGCAGCTATCCAGCACAGTTGTCCCGAACCTGGCTTTTAAACAGTATTGCGCAGGGACCCTGCTGGACTGGAAAGACTGTGTGACCAGCCTGGTATTGACCTTCAAATACTGGGCTTAGCATGAACCCTTTCCAGACTGATTCTGTTTAAGTTGCACTGCACTCTCCAAGTCCAAAGCAGCTGGCATTTCCTCTGTGCTTGCCCTGTCTCACATTGACTGCTGCTAGTCATGTGTATCTACCAGCTTGCAGCTATCCAGCACACTCCTCCTGAGTCTGACTTTTGGACTGTATTGTGGCTGACCCCACTGGACTGGAAGGTTGCAGGGTGAACCTGGAAGTGGCAAGCCTGTATGGTTGGTGTCAGAGCTTAACCAAAGAAATGATGTCACTGCCCCTTCTCGCATTATGGAGTTCAGGACTGGCAATTGACCACTGATGACTGAGCAAGGTCATGTGGGGAAGGGCACATACTCTCCCATAGCTGGCAAGGAAGTTCAAATGTGCAAGTATTTCTGGTTGTAAGCTGTCAGGAAGCACTGACACCCTGCCCTAAATTAAAGCCTAAGTTTAGTCCAAAAGGGGACATGACTTGGGATGTGTCCCTTGTGCTGCTGCTTTAGTTATAATCTTTCTATGCCGATCCCCCTCCCCATAGTATAGATTCTCTGAATAGAGAAGGTGGGTGGAAACGCTATAGTCCATATAACAGGTCCCTCAGCTCTTTTAACCCCCACCGCTTCAGTAGGAGGGACCTGTCATATACACTCAAGACTGCCAACTTTCCACCCACCTCCTCCATTCATTAGAAGCCATACTATAGCTTCTTTGAATGAAAACTGATCTATGAATGGAGGAGGTGGACGTTTCATTTATCCACCCTGCCCCTATTCATAGATCATTTTTTTCCTTCTTAGACGCTATATTACAGCTTCTGTGAATGGAGAAGGTGAGCAGTAAGGGCAGGCATAGTCGGCACTCTTGACAAGTGCATATGGCAGGTCTCTCAGTTTGTACTAACCCCCTCAGCAACCAGAAGATTACGGCTGCCAGGGGTGGGAGGGGATTGGAGGACTAAGGATTTCCAGTAAAACCGGTAGCACAAGGGAAACATTGCATTAATATCAAGTAATGTATTGTAGCTTACCAATTATGCTGTGCGCTGACTGCATTAGTTTTAATTTTTTAAAGCTTTCCCCCCCCCCCCCTGTTTTCACCTGCTGATCTCGTCGGTAACACACCTCCTGTGTGCCTCCATTCTAGATGGAGCACAGGAGACACCTTTAGACAGTGTTTTCAGTCTGCAGGGAGGGGAGTATTAGATGTATTGGCAGATTTAAATAAACTGGCAAATTGAAGCCAAATTCCAGCTAATACTTTATAAGCAGTTGCAGCAAACAGTTGTTTTTTTTTTTTTCCTTTTGGGATAAAGGTTTTACATAAATAAAAGCAGATCATTCTAAGCACCCCTGCTAGTGTTAATTGGTTTGTCTCATCTTTGTAACTGATACATTCTGCTGGAGTGCTTGTTCTTTTGAAAAAAAAACAACAGACGTACTGGGAGGATCAAAACAGAAGAAAGAAAGCCTAAAAAGAAAATAAATGCAACCATCACATGTAAGAAATGGTAAGCTGCCATAATTATTATTATCATTATTATATATAGCGCCAACAGTTTGCACAGCGCTTTTACAACCTGAGGTCAAACAATACAATTACATTAACACTGAATACAGGAGGAATCGGAGAGCTCTGCTTATTACAAATATGTTCGCTTTTAATATGGCTTTAACTCGCTTTACTCTGATAATTCTTCATAAATTCTTACTGTTTAGGATTCTAAATAGAGCATGTATGTCTGAGTATATTCTGTACTTGGGGAACACTGTCAGTTTGTTATGACATTTTCTTTTGATGTATCTTTTGTGCCATCTTGTAGTTATACCCTGCAGTCTTGTTACTTTTTTTAATTTAGCTCTTGTTAGATGATATGCTGTAATGATTTTATTCTTATTCAAAATTATGTAAAAATTGTTTAAGCATGAAATACTTTGCACTTGTGCTTTTACACAAAAAAAAAAAACGATGTAAAAAAAAAATGATTTGGCATCCAGCCTCATTCTTGAACAGTGATTTGACAAATAATTTTACCTGCAGCACCACCTGCTGGTGAATTTGGGTATGTCAGCTTCTGCTGTTGGCAAATGTATTGGGATGCCTTCCTTTACACTCATATGAACTTTAACCACTTACCCTCCAGAGGATTTACCCCCCTTCCTGACCAGACCATTTTTTGCGTTCTAGTGCTGCGTTACTTTAACTGACAATTCCACGGTCATGCAACGCTGCACCCAAATGAAATTTTCATCCTTTTTTTCCCACTAATAGAGCTTTCTTTTGGTGGTATTTGATCACCTGTGTGTTTTTTAGTTTTTGCGCTATAAAAAAAAAAAGTCAGACGATTTTGAAAAAAAAACTATTTTTTTACTTTTTGCTATTAAACATGTCCAGTAAAAAAATTTTAAAAAATAAAATTTTGTCATAAATTTAAGCCAAAATGTATTCTGCTACACATCTTTGTTACAAAAAATCCCAATACGTGTAAATTATTAGGATAACGTGAAGTTTATAGCGTTTACAAATGGCGATATATATACTGGGATTTATTTATTTTTTTAATTTTTATCAGTAATGGCAGTAATCAGCGACTTATAGCGGGACTGCGGTGGGCATTCTGACACTGGGGGGAACTGACTTGGTGTCAATGACATCCTCAGTGACACCAATACAGTTATCAGTGCTAATAAAAAGCACTGACACTGTACTAATGGCACTGGGCAGGAAGGGGTTAACATGTGGGGCGATCAAAGGGTTAACTGTGTGCTGTGTTCTGTTTTACTGTGTGTGTGCTTTCAACTGTAATGCAGAGCCATGCAAAATGGTGTGCAGGAGATGACAGGGGAGAGAACTGTATTATTTACATACAGTTCTCTCCCTCCTCCTCGATCACCGGCCAGGACTCGGTGATCGACAGCCGAGGCTGCGAGCAGCGCGCACGACACTACCCTGTAATGCAAAATCACACATACACATATATATATACACATACATACAGTGGGGCAAAAAAGTATTTAGTCAGCCACCAATTGTGCAAGTTCTCCCACTTAAAAAGATGAGAGAGGCCTGTAATTGGCATCATAGGTAGACCTCAACTATGAGAGACGAAATGAGAAAAAAATCCAGACAACCATATTGGCTGATTTGGAAAGAATTTATTTGCAAATTATGGTGGAAAATAAGTATTTGGTCACCTACAAACAAGCAAGATTTCTGACTATCACAGACCTGTACCTTCTTTAAGAGGCTCCTCTGTCCTGCACTCATTACCTGTATCAATGGCACCTGTTTGAACTTGTTATCAGTATAAAAGACACCTGTCCACAACCTCAAACAGTCACACTCCAAACTCCACTAAGGTGAAGATCAAAGAGCTGTCGAAGCACCAGGCCGGGAAGACTGAATCTGCAATAGGCAAGCAGCTTGGTGTGAACAAACCAACTGTGGGAGCAATAATTAGAAAATGGAAGACATACAAGACCACTGATAATCTCCCTCGATCTGGGGCTCCACGCAGGTTCTCACCCCGTGGGGTCAAAATGATCACAAGAACGGTGAGCAAAACTCCCAGGACCACACGGGGGGACCTAGTGAATGACCTGCAGAGAGCTGGACCAACGTAACAAAGGCTACCATCAGTAACACACGACGCCGCCAGGGACTCAGATCCTGCAGTGCCAGACGTGTCCCCCTGCTTAAGCCAGTACATGTCCCGGCCCGTCTGAAGTTTGCTAGAGAGCATTTGGATGATCCAGAAGAAGATTGGGAGAATGTCATATGGTCAGATGAAACCAAAATAGAACTGTTTGGTAGAAACACAACTCGTCGTGTTTGGAGGAGAGAGAATGCTGAGTTGCATCCAAAGAACACCATACCTACTGTAAAGCATGGGGATGGCAACATCATGCTTTGGGGCTGTTTCTCCGTAAAGGGACCAGGACGACTGATCCATGTACAGGACAGAATGAATGGGGCCATGTATCGTGAGATTTTGAGTGCAAACTCCTTCCATCAGCAAGGGCATTGAAGATGAAACGTAGCTGGGTCTTCCAACATGACTATGATCCCAAAGTCCGTGTTGCCCAGCAACAGCCAAAACATCACTGCTCCAGAGGAGATCTGCATGGAGGAATAGGCCATCATACCAGCAACAGTGTGTGCCAACCTTGTGAAGACTTACAGGAAACTTTTTTGACCTCTGTCATTGCCAACAAAGGATATATAACAAAGTATTGAGACAAACTTTTCATATTGACCAAATACTTATTTTCCACCATAATTTGCAAATAAATTCTTTCCAAATCAGCCAATGTGATTGTCTGGATTTTTTTTCTCATTTTGTCTCTCATAGTTGAGGTCTACCTATGATGCAATTACAGGCCTCTCTCATCT